TTGGTTTGCTTTGGTTCTGCGTCCTGCCTCCTTGTGGTCAGGGCACCTTATGCGGTCCTGAGATTGGAGCCTGGGCCAGCCATGTGTAAGGAAAGCACCTCACCCACTGTCCTATGGCTGTGGCCCTGTAGGTAGCAGTTTTGAATGACTGTGGATTCCTCTGCGATGGCCTCCTGGCTTTATACTGTCGCACCACCCTGGCATTGTAGCTGATTTCTTTTCATCTTATCTGCTCATCTTCCTCTATGCCTCCAGTGTGCTGTGAGCAGGAGCAAGCCTGATGGCTGTACCCTCCTTGCCCTGTGGTCTTCATTTTGTGATGCAGTCAGGAAAAGTGGCCATTTCCATCTCTCGTTGTTAGTTTACTCCACTATGATCTTTGTACTTTATTTTTTAAATTTTTTAGAAAAATATTTAAATTTTATTTTAGGTATTGTGGTTTGCAGATCTATTAGTGGTGAGGCTTCGTGCACACATCACTGCAGCACCACACCCTCCACCAGAATGTTTTAAAATTCTTATTTATTTCTCACCTGCACGGCAAAGCCTGGCAAGTTACCCGTGGCGTATTCGATATGCCAAAAACAGTAACAACAAGTCTCACAATGGAGACGTTACTGGGCCCCCTCGAACAAATCGATGAACAATGGGAGGACAGTTCTACAGTGCTACAGACAAATAAAAAGTTGTAAATTAAAGCCAGAACTATTTCTACTTTACATATTATATGCAGTTCGTTGCTATACAAGTATGTTTATGCTAACTATATAGTTTATTATGTGTTTCTCATTCAACAACAGAAACTATTATCAACTAATCTTTGCCGATTTCTATTATCCTAACTGTCCTGCATACTGAGATATTTTGAATAAAAATGGTACTATAAAATATTAAAATTTAATGTTCTGAGTACTTCTTTCTATGTAGTCCTACAAGAGTACTCATTATAATAGTTCTAGTTGGAGTTCATAAAGGTTGCTGTCAAAAGGTATTCATTTAGAGGTTTTTCTTTCCTCAAAAATAAGTCAAAAAACATTATACTTCCCAAAGTAAAGAAAATATGTATAACTTAAGGAATAAAGTAACATTGACTATCAGCAGTTTAGTGGGAATTTTTTATTATGAAACAAAGAGATATGAATAAACAAAAACTCAAATGAACAGATTTAGGATAATACCAAGCATCTCAGGATCTAAGGTAAACAATTTTCCCCCAAATTACTGTGACTTATATAAATCATTAGTAATGATAATCAATGTGTTATTTTTCTAGTAAAATTTCAAGTTCTTAGAAGACAGGATACAATTGGCCTACCTAGGATTATATATCTGGGCCCAGCCCAGTCATTCATAGCCAAGGGCTGACTCGCGCAACAAAAACATGATCTTTTGGAGTCTGCATTTGTAGACTGGGTCTAGAAACAGAGTAAACAGAATCATTTATGGGTTGCCCTTCTCCTCCAGAAAGTGTCTGCTTCTCTAGGAAATTAGATTTCTTTTAAATAAATGCCCAGGGAAATCTAGAAAGACACCAGCTCCCAATTCTGTTGTCAAATGCAAGAAGAAATGTCTATTTTCTGATGTTCTCACCTGTGATGGTTAGAACAAAGAATCAGATTTTGACATTGCATTTCTGACTTGTGATCTTCAGGAAATACATATGTGAATAAACTGATTAAAACATATATGCATATGCTGGATATTAACCCCAAGTTCTTTAGGCTTCATCACTGAATTGCAGCTCTTCCTTCCCTCAGAGAAACTTACAGTGCTCTAGAGAGCACCCTTAGTCTGCTGAGTTTATCTTTGACCTTTCCTTTGTGCTGTACCTCTCATTGTTATATTCCCAAGTCAATCTTAGTTACTTATAAGTCAAGACTTCTGATGATTCTAAACTTTGTGCTTGCTTTTCTATTTTCCATATAGCCTTTTCATATTTTACTATACATCAATGTTTTTTGCTTAAATACAAAAAGACCATTAATGCTGTGCTCCGAGTATTTGGCAGTTGATGATTCTGAAATATATCTGCTCTTGGGCATTCATCATAATTACTTGACCCAGGCTTGTTTGCCATAGCTCTGTGTTTATTCAAATAACTGCAAGTATTAAAAAGAATTAAACTTAATTGTTTAATATGTACAACTAAAGGGAAAGAGAAAAGCAATATAGATATCACTGTAAGACTGTCTCCTTGATTTACTTCCCCGAAGAAAATTGCCTCCATGGAAACGCTTTACCTCTTTAAATGATCAATCATACCTACGTGCCGTCCTATATCTTGAACCCCTTCAGATGTTCTATAAGTATGCTAGCAGCTCTGAATTAAGTGGAACATTTTGACCATCATCAGTCCATGTTCCCTTATCTCTTTTTCCTTCTGCTGGGGAGGCCGGGGAAGCAGTTCTAAGCCAATGAATGCACACATAGCACCATGCTTTTATATACGTGTAATAATGTACATATATATTAATGTATGTTAATATGTGTACATATTTATAAGATGTATGTTATATAATATGTATTTTATATAATTGTAATACATATTAATCAATTTATTTTGGAAAGCAGTTATGTTCGCCACTATGCCGCAATGCCGCCAAATCTTATTTTTGGGGGGGATTTGGGGCCATATCCAGTGGTGCTCAAAGGCTACCCCTTGTTCTGTGCCCAGAAATCATCCCTGACAATCCACAGAGAACATCTGGCAGTGTCTGGTGTACCACATGTGTTTCCAGGATTTGAATCATGGTTGGCCTCATGCAAAGCAAGAGCTTTAACTAACTCTGTATTATGGTCTTTAACATAGTCACAATTAGTTCTTTGTGGGGGTGAAGCAACTCCCAAGCAGTGCTCAGGAGACCTAGGGCCCATCTTTGATTCTTGGCAACCAGTCTGTCAGCTCAAAGCAAAGGCCCAGGAATGTGCTGCTCTCAGGCCCTGGCAGTGCAAACACCCTATGTCGCATGGGGGCTTTCAGAGTTGTACAGAGATGAGAGGGATCACGCTGTACTAAGAACTCAACCCGAGTAGTACACACCAGACACAGGAGCCTTCATCACTCTCTTAGCTCTTGACTCCACATATGTAGTTCTTAAGGTCCTATAATAGGAAGGTCTAATCAGGTGGTGTATTTTTTTTTAATTTTAAGAGGTCCAACTTCTAGGTAAGAATGAAGTATGAACTATTTTTAATACACGAAAGATGTCATTCTAATAACAATTATATGCATGAAATAACTAACTTTTCAAATTTCTTAGATTTTGGTCTGTGTAGTGGAAGATGGGCTAAAAATCAGAAATATGTACTAATACTATAGTGAATGTGACTGATAAAGTGACTTGTACCTCCACAATATTTGTGCTCAATGCTCAGTGGAACAACATTTTCTTTTGTTTCAAAATAAAAGTTCTCATGACACATATTCAGTGATACTTTGTGAAAAAAAATTATAAAAGGATCCCTGAAGGGGAGAAATGGAAATCATCTACTAAAGAAAGAAAAAATGGTAGAATTATTATATTTTAACAAAAATGTAGGACTTTTTCAATAATTGACTAAAGTTATAAGGTAAAAAATGGCAGTTTGAAGATTCATTTATTGAAACCTGTGCTCACAAGGCTCTTTCCCCACATCAACAATTTTCCCAGCTGCACATATATACTAGAGAACTGGAGTACACAGTATCCTGGAGGAAAGAGATGGATGGAAAAATAAGTAATAGTGAGATGATAGTCACAAGTAATGCAATGATTGATGAAGAAACAGCGATCAGCAGAGCCCGTAAGCACATATTCCTTTCTGACCATCTGCTTCCAAAAATGTGATATGTTAAATCTCTAAGTCATTGGCAGGCCTTTAAGTTGCAGGAGTGTCTCAAAATATTATCGGTATTATCGTTCCTTCATCAAATTTATTACATTCTCTTAATTCCACAGGTAACAAGGAAAGATAAAGACAGAGAAAGAGATAGGAACAGAGAGACAGAGAGACGGAGAGAGAAAGAAAGAAAAGAGGCTCTTTTCTTACAAAATCTGAGTGCGCTTCCTGAAGTTACTGCCTTAAAGTACTCTCACCCATCATAATATAATAGTCTAACTATCATATTTAGCAATTTGTATCTCAACAATAGAGGAGGATATTCAAGAGTTCCATATATCACTTTACATTGTCTGCTGTGCTGGGTCAAATGAGGAGAATGCCCTAATTACAACTTATAAATAACTTGTCATCATCACACACATTAATCATGACAGCCAAACTATCAGCTATAGAATACACAGTTACTGGCAAAACCATTACCATTTATATTGCATCATGTGTTTCTAACAGAGCAGCATACATGCAAGTCATTTGTTCATTAATGAGGAGCACAGTAGAATGAAATAAGTATATGGAAGAGTTTGTACGCTTGATATCTACCAGCTTTATAACTGTTTTTTACTCTCTTCACATTTCAGTCTCCCATTTATGATAATGGGAGAGAGAAATAATGACCCTTTACTTGTTTGCTGCTAAAGTACTTGAGAATTCTCTGATGTAAGATTTCACACAAATACACAGACTATAATTAGATCAGCAAAACCTGAAAATTACATACCAGAGTATTTGTCACTATTAAACAGTCAACACAACAATCAGAAAAAAAGAAAATGCATCCTTTCTTAAGGCACCTAAATTCAAGATTGCTGAATGCACAGCTATTTGGGGAAAATGTATGTGCAAATAGATTCACTGGAGTGACTATCCAAGTTAGGTAATCTAGAGAAATTCTTTACAAGTTATACTGACTCAGAAAAAAATGTGTGGGATTACTAATCCGAGGTACTTCTTCTAATGTCCAGTTTCCCAAGAAGATGTAGCTTTTCTCCTTGAAATATTTGCTATGATTTAGAATTCCAGAGAATATTCTATTTAATTCCACTGATGTAGTTTCAAAATGTAAAATTTTGCATCTCCAAATCTAGTTAACCTTGTAATTATCAAATATTAAAACTTACAGTACAGTGGTGTACAGGCATCCAAGCAGGCGCTTCTACTGAACAATTCTGGGCTGGACATTTGCCTTGGTTTTGCTGCAAATAAGCAAAAAATCATATTCTGTTACATATGTGTATATATACTATGTATAGCGATACTTGTAAACTAACATGTCAATTAAAATATTCACAAGCAAAGAAGTATTGAGGGCAATGGGGGCTGGAGCGACAGCACAGCGGGTAGGGCGTTCGCCTTACAAGCGGCCAACATGGCCAACCCGAGTTCGATTCCTCCACCCCTCTCGGAGAGCCCGGCAAGCTACCGAGAGTATTCGATATGCCAGACACAGTAACAACAAAGTCTCCAATGGAGACGTTACTGGGCCCGCTCGAGCAAATCGACGATCAACGGGAGGGCCTTTACCTTTACCTTTATGATTGCAGATAATTATGTTTTATACTATGATCAAGGAATAAGAAATTATTCATTTGGAGGGGTAATTCTAAAAAACTTGTTTCGGCACCAGCTTTTTTTTTCAGTAGCTGGTCTTTCAGGCCCCAGAGAGAACCACCAAGAATTCTCATATATTGGAGATAAAAATGGTTTTCTCTCCTTGAAACTTCCAGGCAATACTGAATAAGTCCCTATGTCACTAGAGGCAAAGAATGAAAAGATTTGTGTATTTGTCTCCTCCTCCAGATTGTGAACTAGTGACAAGGATTCTAGGGTATTTCATAGAACCCCAGAAGGCAGAGTTCTATTGGAAATATCTTAGAGGATGTATTTGTTGTTATATTAGAAAATTTGGTGCAAAGAAATGGGACAATTTTATAAAGAGATCTGAGTGCTAATATTATAAATCATTGCAAGCACATCTATCTATCTATCTATCTATCTATCTATCTATCATCTATCTATCCATCTATCGTCTCAAGTTAGCTTATTCTCTTATCACTTAAGCTCATTCTCTTATCATAATGCCTATTAATTAAAATAATTTGGTGAGGAGTGTTGGGCCACACCTCGACGTGCTCAGGGTTTACTCTTGGCTCTGAACTCAAGGATCATTTTTTTTTATTAGAGAGACACCATGAGGTACAGTTGTAGACTTACAAATTTTTGTGCTTGGGTTTCAATTATACAATTATGAAACACCCATCCCTCCACCAGTGCCCATTTCCCACCACCATGGATCCCAGTATCCCTCCCACCCCCCATCACCCCATCCCACCCTGCCTCTTGGCAGGGCATTCCCTTTTGTTCTCTCTCTCCATTTGGGTGTTGTGCTTTGCAAGAGAGGCATTGAGTGGCAATCATGTTTGGTCTATAGTCAACTTTCAGCATCCTTCTCTCATCCTGGGAGGAGGATCCTCCCAACACCCTTCACTTGGTGCTCCTTTCTTTATCTGAGCTCCCTTTTCCCCTACCACGTGTGGCAGGCCTCCAGACCATGGAGCAAAATTTCTGGTATTAATCTCGGCCATTCTTGGGTATTAGTCTCCTATTTTGTTACATTATGTTCCCCAGATCAATGCAATCTTTTTATGTCTATCCCTCTCTTTCTGACTCATTTCGCTTAACATGATACTTTCCATGTAGTTCCCCTTGTATGTAAATTTCATGACTTCATCTTTTCAAACAGCTACATAGTACTCCATTGTGTAAATGTGCCAAAGTTTCTTTAACCAGTCATCTGTTCTCAGGCACTCAGGTTTTTTCCAGATTCTGGATATTGTAAAGAGTGTTGCAATGAACAAACAAGTGCAGATGTCACTTCGACTATACTTTTTTGCCTCTCTGGGATATATTCCCAAGAGCTCAATTTCTAATTTTTTTTAGAATAGTCCATATTGTTTTCCAAAAGGCTGAACCAGTCGGCATTCCCACCAGCAGTGAAGGAGGGTCCCTTTCTCGCCAAATCCGCGCGAGCACCGGTGGCTTTTGTTCTTGCGGATGTGAGTCAGTCTCTGTGGTATGAAGTAATACCTCTTTGTGGTTTTGATCTGCATGATTAATTATGTGGAGCATTTTCTCATGTGCCATTTAGTCATTCAGATTTCTTCTTTGTGAAAGTTTCTGTTCATTTCATAGCCCCATTTTTTGCTGGGGTTGGATGTTTTCTTCTTGTGGAGTTCAACCAGTACCTTGTATATCCTTGATATCAACCCCATGTCGGATGTGTATTCTGTGAATATCCTTTCCCATTCTGTGGACTGTCTTTGTATTTTGTTCACTGTTTCTTTTGAGGTGCAGAAGCTTCTTAGTTTAAGATAGTCCCATTTGTCCCACTCTGTTTTCACTTTCTTGACCAGTGGCGTGACATCTTTGAAGATACCATTAGCTTCAATGTCATGGAGGATTTTGCCAACTTTTTCTTCAATGTGACTTATGGATTCCGGTCTGATGTTGAGGTCTTTAATCCACTTTGATCTTACCTTTGTACATGGCATTAGGCAGAGATCTGAGCCCACTTTTTTGCATGTAACCATCCAGTTTTGCCAGCACAATTTATTAAAGAGGCTTTCCTTGCTCCACTTCACTTTTCTTGTCCCCTTATCAAAGATTAGATGATCATATGCTTGGGGGGAGATGTCAGTATATTCAATCCTGTTCCATTGGTCTACAGCTCTACCTTTGTTCCAGTACCACACTGTTTTAATTATTACTGCTTTGTAGTAGAGTTTAAAGTTAGGGAGGTTGATTCCTCCCATCTTCTTTTTTGGGGGATTATTCTTATTGGTGCTCAAGGTGCCAGAAATCGAACACAGTTCAGGTGTGTGCAAGGAAAATGCCTTACCCGTTGTATTATTTATTTCACTGTAGCACTGTAGCACTGCACTGCCCTCTCATCAATTTGCTCGACTGGACCCACTAACGTCTCACAACAAATTGTGAGACTTGTTGTTACTGTTTTTGACATATTGAATACGTCATGGGTAGCTTGCCAAGTTTGCTGTGTGGGCGAAATACTCTCGGTAGCTTGCCAAGCTCTCCGAGAGGGGCGGAGGAATCGAACCCAGGTCGGCTGTGTGCAAGGCAAATGCCCTACCCGCTTTGCTATCACTCCAGCCCATTAATTCAAATCTAAGTGGACTTTCAGAAAGAATAAAAGCTTCTGTATAGCCAAAAATATTCTCAATCCCCATAACAGGTAGAATGGATTTCTGCCAAATGTAGAAGTGATTCTAAAAAACACAATTTTATATTTAATTTATTATATTGTACACTGGGTTATAAAACAATTAATTATTAAAAGTACATCTGTGATATAGCTAACTATTAAGCCAGGGTTTTTTTCTGAATACATTAAATTATCACTAGTTGCCACAAAAAATAGATTCTACAAGTATTATCATGTTCATTCTATAGGTGAGTTAGACTTGCCTAGAGATAACTCTACAAAAAATTAGGACAGCTGGGATTTCACCTAGACCTTATTGACTCTGCTACCTATGTATGATCCTTCTTTGAAAAGCATTCTTTTGCATTTTTCTTTGTTCACTTAGTCAATGAGTTTATGATATATTATCAATTAATATGACTTTATCTTATCTATGATCCTAATATTTCTGACATCAATGTCAAGAATCGATGTATTTGGCACTAATATCTTGCAAGAAATTCTTTTGTGTTTTACAAGCCTTTTAGGAGAAACAGATTTATTTTTTGAAGCATCAATAAAATTTGGAGAGTTAGTTCTGTTTGAGTGATTAGTAATGAAAGCATCATTAAAAATGTAGACACCAATTTTTATGGTCAGTTAACTTTTTAAATGAAAATATAACATAAAATATCAACAGAGTGCATAAGATGCATTGGACTGAAGTCACACCATTGCAATATTTTTGTGGGATTATACTTGAGATTGCTCAAGGAGTACTCCTAATCAAATATATCAAATGTAATAGCAGTGCTTGGGAGACAAGATGCACTGCCAGGTACTGAACTGAAGTCAAGGCAAGCATCTAAACCTCTATACTATATCATCAGCCCAACCACAATTTCAGGCTAAACTCAACCATGGTTGCTGCTATGAGATGCGTTATATTTATAATCACATCAGTAAAACTATTTACACATTAGTGTAAACACTGAGGTCTATTTGATATAATATTCAACATTATTGGGGGGATCATACATGGAGCTAGGGATTGAACCTTGGCTGGCCATGTGTAAGGTAAGAAACTTAACTGTCGTCCTCTCTCTCTCTGGTCCCAGGTTAAGTGTTTTGAAATTTAAAAGCATTATTAAAGTGTTGTTTTCCAAATATGAGACTCATCCAAACATTACTATAAACACGGAGACATTTCTCATTTGTAATAACTCAAGACTACAATTATTATTACTAGTAGCAGTAACAAACTTATTTTAAATCTAGTCATGCATGTCTTTGGAGGGTGTACTCGTAAGCAGTTCCCACCATTTGGACTAGTGGTTCAGTGCAAGTGCATGAGAAGGTAGAGCTCTTTGGCTCTCTGGAGCTGTGGGTTCTCTGAGATCCATTGGCAGTGCTCAAAGGCCTCCAGAGCCACAGAAGTGCTTGGGGAACCAGGTGTGCTGGTGGGAAAGAATTCAAATTGGGTTTATACGAGGCAAGTACCTTAATCTCTGTACTGTCTTGCCATTGATTGTGTGCATCTTTATTGAGTACATCTTATTAAAGAGACAAAATTTAACTAGATCCAGAAACCAGCTTTGAATAAACTGGAGAAGCTCTAAGTGGAGAAGCCTTGGAGAAGCCCTCTAGAACTACTGAGTATGGTCCCAAAACAAAAGAAATTAAACTAAAAAAATGACATATGCTAGAGTGAAAGAGTATATATTCTAACAAAATGAAAAGTGTCTATACATAGGAGTATTTTAACTTTTATGGATGTTTAGGAAAAAAAGTGTTTGAATTTCTATCTACTCATAAAATAATGTCCATCTGATGAATTTACCTCTTATTTAATTTTTCACATTAGTTTTCCTTTTTTTCCCGTGGGGAGACACCTGAGCTCAGTGATCACTCCTGGTTGTGCTCTGGGACCATGTGGGATGTTTGGGATAAAACTCAGCTTGGTCACATGCAAAGCAAGTGCCCTGGTTGCAGTAC